AAATTTCATAAAAAAGTCATAGTATAGTATGTCATCAAATAATCATGAAAAATCTCATACACGGGGCGCCGGTGGCTTAGTGGTAGAGCACACACCCCATGTACAAGGCTGTTGCCGCAGCGGCCCGGGTTCGACTCCAGCCTGTGGCCCTTTGCTGCATGTCACTCCCTCTCTCAAAAAAATCATGAAAAATGTCTTAGTATATAATATGTCATCATGAAAATCATCAAAAATATCATAGTATAGTATGCCGTTCCAAAATCATGAAAAATGTCATAGTATAATCTGTCATCCTAAATTTCATCAAAAAGTAATAGTATAATGTGTCAGTAAAAATGTCATTAAAGTGATAGTATAGTGTGTCACAAAAAGAGAGTGCTTTTTCAAATTCTGCATCTTTTCCCCTCTGTAGCAATGTAACGACGTGGGCCTCATGGCCTATTTAGGCACCATCACCAAGACCTGCAACAGTATGAACCAGTTCATCAACAAGTTCAACGTCCTGTACGACAGACAGGGCATCGGCCGGAGGATGAGAGGACTCTTCTTTTAAGCTGGCAGTTCGCCGAAGCAGAGAAGCAAACAAGCACTGCAGTTTCTTTTTCTGTTTTGTTCTTTTTTTGGTTTGTATTTTTGGCTAGCAAAAACAAATTCTACAGTAGCTTTTAAACAAGTTTACCATCTTCAAACACAAGTGTATCTAAAAGCACTTAAGTACACCAGTCAGTAAGAGATATGTACAAAATTGCTCAACTCTTTCTTGGGTATGCACAGAAATGAATCCACTGTACATGAACGTTATATTATTTTACCCCGTTTGTTTTATTGTTTCATGTTTCTGTATGTAATAAATGATCTGCTGATTTTTTTCATGGGACTTTAACTCCTCTTCTTTTTCAACTTGAGAGATTCTAATATGGCAGACCTTCCAATTTTGCCGTTCTAAAATCATGAAAAAATGTCATAATATATAGAATGATGTTCGAAAATCGTGAGACATGTCATAGTATGGTATGGTGTTCCAAAATCATGAAAAATGTCGTAGTATAGTATGTCGTTCAAAAATCATGACAAATGTCATAGTTTAGTATGTCATTGAAAAATCATGAAAAGTCATAGTATAGTATGTCATGAAAAAGTCATGAAAAAATCATGAAAAATGTCATAGTATAGTATGGCGTTCCGAAATCATGAAAAATGTCATAGTATAGTATGTCGTTTCAAAATCATGAAAATGGCATAGTTTAGTATGTCGTTGAAAAATCATGAAAAATGTCAGTATAGCATGTCGTTCGAAAATCATCAAAAATGTCATAGTATAGTATGTCGTTCCAAAATTATGAAAAATGTCATAGTATAGTATGTCGTTTCAAAATCATGAAAAATGTCATAGTATATTATGATGTTCTGAAATCATCAAAAATGTCACAGTTTAGTATGTCATTTCAAAATCATGAAAAATGGCATAGTTTAGTATGTTGTTGAAAAATCATGAAAAATGTCATAGTATACTACGTCATTCGAAAATCATCAAAAATGTCAGTATAGCATGTCGTTCCAAAATTATGAAAAATGTCATAGTATAGTATGTCATTCCAAAATCATGGAAAATGGCATAGTCTAGCATGTAAATCATGAAAAATGTCATGGTATAGTATGTCGTCAAAAAATCATGAAAAATGTCATAGTATAGTATGTCGTTCGAAAATCATCAAAAATGTCATAGCATAATATTTCGTCCAAAATTATGAAAAATGTCATAGTATAGTATGGTGTTCCGAAATCATGAAAAATGGCATAGTATAGTATGGCTTTCGAAAATCATCAAAAATGTCATAGTATGTGGTTCCAAAATTATGAAAAATGTCATAGTATAGTATGTAGTTCCAAAATCATGAAAAATGTCATAGTATAGTATGTCGTTCCGAAATCATGAAAAATGTCATAGTATAGTATGTCGTTCCGAAATCATGAAAAATGTCATAGTTTAGTATGCCGTTCAGAAATCATCAAAAATGTCATAGTATAGTAGGTGGTTCCAAAATAATGAAAAATGTCATAGTTTAGTATGTCGTTCGAAAATCATCAAAAATGTCATAGTATAGTATGTCGTTCCAAAATCATGAAAAATGTCATAGTTTAGTATGTCATTTCAAAATCATGAAAAATGTCATAGTATAGTATGATGTTCTGAAATCATGAAAAATGTCATAGTATAGTATGTCGTTCCAAAATTATGAAAAATGTCATAGCATGGCGTTCCAAAATCATGAAAAATGTCACAGTACAGCATGTCGTTCCAAAATTATGAAAAATGTCATAGGATAGTATGTCGTTTAAAAATCATGAAAAATGTCATAGTATATAGTATGTCGTTCCAAAATTCTGAAAAATGTCATAGTATACTACGTCGTTCGAAAATCATGAAAAATGTCATAGTATAGTATGTCGTTCCAAAATTCTGAAAAATGTCATAGTCTAACATGTCGTTCCGAAATCATCAAAAATGTCATAGTATAGTATGTCGTTCCAAAATTCTGGAAAATGTCATAGTATAGTATGTGGTTCCAAAATCATGAAAAATGTCATAGTATAGTATGTCGTTCCAAAATTATGAAAAATGTCATAGTATAGTATGTCGTTCCAAAATCATGGAAAATGGCGTAGTCTAGCATGTCATTCCAAAATCATGAAAAATGTCATAGTATAGTATGTCGTCATGAAAATCATGAAAAATGTCATAGTAAAGTATGTCGTTCGAAAATTAAGAAAAATGTCATAGTATAGTATGCCGTTCGAAAATCATCAAAAATGTCATAGTTTCGTATGTCGTTTCAAAATCATGACAAATGTCATAGTTTAGTGTGTCGTTGAAAAATCATTAAAAATGTCATAGCACAGTATGTCGTTCCAAAATCATTAAAAATGTCATGGTATAGTATGTCGTCAAAAAATCATGAAAAATGTCATAGTATAGTATTTCGTCCAAAATTATGAAAAATGTCACAGTATAGTATGGTGTTCCGAAATCATGAAAAATGGCATAGTATAGTATGGCGTTCAGAAATCATCAAAAATGTCATAGTATAGTATGTGGTTCCAAAATTATGAAAAATGTCATAGTATAGTACGTCGTTCGAAAATCATTAAAAATGTCATAGTATAGTATGTCGTTCCAAAATTATGAAAAATGTCATAGTATAGTATGTGGTTCCAAAATCATGAAAAATGTCATAGTATAGTATGTGGTTCCAAAATCATGAAAAATGTCATAGTATAGTATGTTGTTCCAAAATCATCAAAAATGTCATAGTATAGTATGTGGTTCCAAAATTATGAAAAATGTCATAGTATAGTACGTCGTTCGAAAATCATTAAAAATGTCATAGTATAGTATGTCGTTCCGAAATCATGAAAAATATCATAGTATAGCATGTCGTTCCAAAATAATGAAAAATGTCATAGTATAGTATGGCATTCGAAATTCATCAAAAATGTCATACTATAGTATGTCGTTCCAAAATAATCAAAAATGGCATAGTCTAGCATGTCGTTCCGAAATCATGAAAAATGTCATAGTAAAGTATGTCGTTCGAAAATCAAGAAAAATGTCATAGAATAGTATGTCGTTCGAAAATCATCAAAAATGTCATAGTATAGTATGTCGTCAAAAAATCATGAAAAATGTCATAGTATAGTATGGCCTTCCAAAATCATGAAAAATGGCATAGTATAGTATGTTGTTCCAAAATCATGAAAAATGTCATAATATAATATGTCGTTCAAAAATCATCAAAAATGTCATAGTATAGTATGTCGTTTCAAAATCATGAAAAATGTCATAGTTAAGTATGTCGTTGAAACATCATGAAAAATGTCATAGTATAGTATGGCCTTCCAAAATCATGAGAAATAGCATAGTATAGTATGGTGTTCGAAAATCAAGAAAAATGTCATAGTATAGTATGTCGTCATAAAATCATGAAAATTGTCATAATATAGTATGTCGTTCCAAAATTATGAAAAATGTCTTCGTATAGTATGTTGTTCAAAAATCATGAAAAATGTCAGTTTAGTATGTCGTTGAAAAATCATGACAAATGTCATAGTATAGTATGTCGTTTCAAAATCATCAAAAATGTCATAGTATAGTATGTGGTTCCAAAATTATGAAAAATGTCATAGTATAGTACGTCGTTCGAAAATCATCAAAAATGTCATAGTATAGTATGTCGTTCCAAAATTATGAAAAATGTCATAGTATAGTATGTCATTCCGAAATCATGAAAAATGTCATACTATAGTATGTCGTTCCAAAATAATGAAAAATGGCATAGTTTAGTATGTCGTTCGAAAATCATCAAAAATGTTATACTATAGTATGTCGTTTCAAAATCATGAAAAATGTCATAGTATATTATGATGTTCTGAAATCATCAAAAATGTCATAGTATAGTATGTCGTTCCAAAATAATGAAAAATGTCATAGTTTAGTATGTCATTTCAAAATCATGAAAAATGTCATAGTATAGTATGATGTTCTGAAATCATGAAAAATGTCATAGTATGTTGTTCCAAAATTATGAAAAATGTCATAGCATAGCATGGCGTTCTGAAATCATGAAAAATGTCACAGTACAGCATGTNNAAAAAAAAAAAAAAAAAAAGTGCTTTATGACTTGTTTAGGACTTTAAACTCAAAGTTTAGGACTCGGGACTTTTCAGTCTTGATATGTGACTCAGCTTGAGACTTGAGTGCAAAGACTTGTGACTTGCAAAACAATGACTTGTCCCACCTGCCAGAAACTGTTGTTGAGCATGTGCTTCTTAGCTGCAAGAAATATATATGAGTGGCTGAAGGCAGAGGATACTTGTTTCCTTATGTAAACAGGACTGATGAGCACAGACTGGACACTGTAGGAGTGAACTACCTCCAGGAGATGGCAGTACTGTCACATTAAGGATGCAAGCTGCCGTTAAAACCCAACGAAGAAGAAGAACAAGAACGTGAACAGTCCACTGCGCCTGCGCGGTCTACCGGACAAGATGGCGACCAGCAATGGAGGAGGAATGGAAGTGGATGGGGCAGGCGAGTATTTCTCATTTATCTCTCAATATCTGCCTGATATTAACATGAACCTGAACGCAGAACGATGCATTTAACTCACATTTGTGTTGTGAGTGTCCGTAAGTGATGAATTAGCGGTGTTAAAGTCGGTAGGTAGCGAGCTTGCTGACATAAGCGGGTTAACGTACACAGCTCTGCTATAAAGCTGTCATCAAATTCATCACTTTGGGTGCTTGAGTCAATATTATATATAATTATATATATTACTATTGTGTTAGCATCAGGGACGTAAAGCTAAATCTGTCAGCTCAGGCAGGTTTGAGATAAACCACACTGACGAGCTATGACAACAAACCAATCTGTAACGTTAATAAGGGCTGGTCTTGGACGTCTGCTGTCTGTGTGATGAACCAATATATCGGCCTGTCTCTATCGGTCAGCATTTAATATTTAGATACATGTCCTTATCATTATGTTGATATTATTTCAAGGATATATTTTTCCAGTACTTTTCATTGAACAGTCAAATACAGCAACAGGATATCAATTAAGGGAAGCAGTGCTTTTTTATTTTATTTTATTTAAGAAGTATAAGTAATATATGCTAAACGTAGGGCTCGTCGGTATGAAGGACATTAAATATCACAATATTTTTGACAAAATACCTCAATATTTGATTATTGGTGCTTTCACAAAATATAATTATATATTTTAATTTTGACACTCCATTGAGCTACAGATATTTTTCTTGCGCCTCCCCTAGTGACTGGGGGAATATGCATAACCTTTCCTCCACCATGAATTAGTTATCTGATTTTTAAAACTTACCCTTTAATGATGGTTGGAAATTAGCTCCATCCACCAGCCAAATGCTGGTAAAAAATAATGCAAGTGGCTGCTAGATTTGCTTTACTTGCCAGCCAAATAACCAATGATAATCTATTAAAAATTATGTCTCTGAAGGTAAAACTTTGTCAACATCTGTGTTATCTAATAAGATAAAGTTTTCAGTCTGTTCTCACTTTAATCATTGTATTTGCAGCAAAATGTATCTAGTCGACTGAAAAAGCAATTGATAATATAATTCTAGTAAGCTACCTAAAGTTTAATTTGTATTTGTGATATTAATGATTTATGAAATAAAACAATCAAAATACGATATATATGTGACAATATGATATTGCCACACAAAAATATCTTTTTTTTCCCCCAACCCTTGTGTATGGTTATGTTTTTTTCCTCTGACAAAAACATTAGTCACACATGATGTGTCCAAGGACTGTCAGAAACTTACAATAATTTTGGTTTTTACAGTTTCTGGCTATGATATATGGTGTAATTTTGATAAATGGTTTAATTTTAAATTAATCATGCCTTCCAAACCAGGCAAAATACAAGATACAACCATTTAGATTTGTATGCCCCTCCCCTAGGCCAAAATAAAAAAAGCATGTCTCTCCCCAGTGCTTAAAAAAATTGATACCTCCTCTCCCCTAAAATAAATAACAAACAATCACTAATGTGGATAGCAATATATTACTGATATATTGCACAGCCCTGACTTAAAAGATAGGAGCTCTGACTACATCACTGACTGACATTTAATTAAATGTTTGTGGTTGTAATTTGAGCCAGACTGGATTTTTGAGGTCAGTGTTGATATTGGGCGGTTAAAAACGTACAACTGCAATACTTGTGCCAGTATTTGTATTTTAAAATAGTTGCATAATATAAACAAATCTTTTGATAATGTTGCTACGATATATCTGGAATAAGCTAATATCGCCTTTTTGGTTTGTTGATCTGGCTCTATTGTTGTCACATAGGATTGGCTTTAAACACACAACACTGAATCCCTACTTGTCGTATTGGCAAATGTTTGTGGATGCATCAGTTATCTTTTATTATTTCAGATTTGTTCATTAATGATAAATTTGATTACGGCTGGGCAATATACCAATATTTATATTGGTATTGTGATACGAGACCAGATATCGTCGTAGATTTTGGAAATCATGATATTGTAAGTGTTGTCTTTTGTTGGTTTTAAGACTGCGTCACTGTAAAGTGATGTCATTTTCTGAACTTAACAGACTGTTCTAGCTGTTCTTCTATTTTCCTTTACCTGCTTTGTGATTAAATCCACTTCACTGATGATTATTTACCAGAAATCTCATTGTGTAAATATTTTGTGAAAGCATCAATAGTCCAATCTACAATATTGTGTCAATATCAATATCAACATCGACACGTGGTCAAAAATATTGTGGTGCTTTTTTTTTGTCCACATCACCCAAACCTCAATGTGATTATTTTTCCATATTAACTGATGAATCCTCCATAAACTGTCAGGAAATTGTGAAAACTGTGTTTTACAAGCTCCCAGAACCCAAGGAGAGGTACTCAAATAGCTTGTTTTGTTCGACCAATGACCTCAGTAGCTGCTGTGGTATTAAAGCCCCTGTTGTTTGTGTCTGTGTGACTGTAGCCAGCCCCAGTGTCATGGCCTCAGGGGTCACCGGAAGCGTCTCTGTGGCCTTACACCCTCTGGTTATCCTCAACATATCCGACCACTGGATACGCATCCGCTCACAGGAGGGACGACCAATGCAGGGTATGTATGACGATGTTATGCAAATGAGATGGCATGTAAGCAGTGATGTCATGTACAGTTTGTCTCATGTTCAGCTGAGTTGTTTTGTTACTGAGTGAAATGAAACAGGTTATTATTGTGTTGGTTCTCCTGCTCAGTGATTGGCGCCCTGATCGGGAAGCAGGAGGGGAGAAACATCGAGGTCATGAACTCCTTTGAGTTGCTGTCTCACACCATAGATGACCGAGTGCACATTGACAAGGAGTACTATTACACCAAGGAGGAGCAATGTAAGTGGGTTGTTTGTGTGAAGGACAAGAATGCAGCTCTGTTTGTGTTTCTGCTTTCATGACTGATTTTTGTGAAATGCAGTGCAGCCAGTTCCTCTCTGGTAGGGTCGTTCTGCTTTAAGAACACAGAAGGGAAGTTACTCACCTCCTGCGCCCTGCTTGTATTTCAGGCCATGGCTTAATTAATGATACTGGCAAAACCAGCCTTTCTGAGATCAGTACCTAAAATACATTTTCACAGAATTGCTTCTCAGATTTTATTTGTGTGTGTGTGTAATAGGAAGAATAGAAATCTGTAAATCTGTAATATTCCTTTTGTCTTTCAGTCAAGCAGGTCTTTAAAGAGATGGAGTTCTTGGGCTGGTACACCACAGGAGGCCCCCCTGACGCATCAGACATCCACATTCACAAGCAGGTAGGCAAAAGTTACAAGGTTTCTTCAGCAATTTTCAACTTGCTTTGTATCAAAAAAGTGTGGGTAGTAAATGAACAGTGGTAAACTTCCCTCCATCTGCCAAGATATCCCACCTCGGCCCGTGGCGAAACTCTGCCAGATGACATTTTGCTGGCTCTAGAGCTGTTGCTTGAACTACAGGCTGTACTTCTGCGTTTTTTTAATAGCCTGACACAAAGAGTATAGAAGCAGGTCAAGAGGCAGGCCCGCCCCTCTCTCCAAAATCCAATCAAACAATAAAACTAAACAGTGCTGATTGATTATATATCAAGAATATGTTACTGCATTGCCTATCTCATCTAAAGTATTTTTAGAAACATATTTTAGTGCCATGTTTAGCTGTAATAGCGAGAGTTTGTGAACAGGAAGTGGGCACCATACTATGTCCTGCACAGTGAAAACAGAGGCCAAAAAAACTGAGATTAACAGTAAATCTAGGCAGGGTTGATCAAATATAAACCAAGAATATGTCACTGAGTTGGCCATTTCTCACCTCAAATGTCTTTGGAAACATGTTTTAGTTACTGTTTAACTGTAAGAGATTGAGATCATTTCTTGCCAGCCTGCCGCCTTTGTTACAAATGGACATTTATTGGTCTGGTGTGGCGCAGTGTACTCTGGTAGTTGTAGGTTTTCTCCCTCTTGCTGTAGCACCAATTTCAAAAGTACTTGCAACTTTTTACTGCATAGACAGCCTAGTTTTATTAAAAGACCATCTTTGCAGCAGTGAACGTCTTTAAAGGTGCATTGTGTACGGTAAATCTGAATGAAAGCAGAATGAACACCCATAACTTCTCTCAGACTAAATTAAGATGCAGTGAGACATAGATTATGTGTTTGTTTTTAAATTTCATCATCAAACAGTCGCCACTTTTCAGAGCAGTAGCTAAACCCCATGTGTAGAGTGTAATGGAAGGGCTGGGGTGTATGGTTTGACCATGGTCTGGATGTAGGATGGGCCTGAGACTATTCATGGCACGATGGGCACGTAGCTGTGTCTTGAATTTGATTGAACCAGCCAGCCACTGAGAGCCACTGCAGGGTGTGGAGTTGATGTTTAACCAATATGGAAATTGTGTTTACTGAATTCCAACACAGTTTCAACTCAAAACATGCAGCACCATCATTGTATTCCAAGCAGATGATGTAGTTGTTGACAGTGAAAGTAGAAAATCATTTTAAAGTCTGATAGTTACTTCAGATTATGTACAGTAGGTTTTCTTACAGTTATTTCCCTCTTCTCTGCCAGGTGTGTGAGATTATTGAGAGCCCTCTCTTCCTCAAGCTCAACCCAATGACCAAACACACTGATGTGAGTTTCTCTGCTCTTTCACTTCAAGAATAAAGACATCACAGTTGTGAAGACACAGCTGCTTTAAACAATGTGTCCTTTTCTCCTTCAGCTTCCTGTTAGTGTTTATGAATCTGTGATTGACATCATCAATGGCGAGGTAATGCTCACATTTTATATATTTCACGTCATCTACATGTCTTTACCTGTAGCAGTGACCCAGTGTACCATAGAGAAGTGTAAGAGTTTTATATGATGTGCTTTTCTGTTAAAAATCTAGGCTACCATGTTGTTTGCTGAGCTGACATACACGCTGGCCACAGAGGAAGCAGAGAGAATCGGCGTTGACCACGTAGCTCGAATGACAGCCACCGGCACAGGGGAGAACTCAACAGGTAAGAGAGGCCGTCTCTTACCTTTTGGTTTAATTCTCTGTTGCCAGATTTTGAAGGAACCCCAAAAATTAAATGGCTGTCCTGTGACCTGACTAATATACATGTTATTACGTCATTTTAAACAAATTCTGTCTGAATAGGTCTTTACTTCAATATTCTCTCTGTCTTCTCTGTTAGTTGCCGAACACCTTATAGCCCAGCACAGTGCGATAAAGATGCTCCACAGCCGGGTGAAGATCATTCTAGAGTACGTCAAAGCTGTGGAATCAGGTGAGAGGACAACAGGGCCCTAATAATGACGCTGTGAGAGCAAAGAATGTGAAAATAAGTCTGGAAAACAGCTGTTTTTGGATGAGATGCTTCCTTTTCCTCACTGTTACACCATCAAGAGAGGCCCCTGGTACACACCTCCATAATTACAAGCCCGTTTGATACTTTCTTGACAGCATTATCTTATCTCACTCTTTTGATTTACTGTGCTTTAACTTGTTTTTTTTCTGTTTCCTGTCTGTCGTCATGTACCGCAGGAGAGGTGCCATTTAACCACGAGATCCTTCGAGAAGCAAATGCCCTGTGCCACAGATTGCCGGTCCTCAGCACCATAAAATTCAAAACTGACTTCTATGATGTAAGCAAGCTCTGTGAACCTTCACATACAACATGTTTTTACATTGCTAACGCGTGGTGATTTCATTACAATGGTTAAGTTAAAGGATATGGCACTACTGTATTTTCTTACCAAGAAATTACATGAAAAGGCTTAAACCAATAAATTGTTAGTCCATCTCTCAATATCTTTGACTTCCCTAGCTTGTCTGTGGCTCTCAGCTCCAAGCCAATTCATTCCTGCTGAAATCAGATCACAAATGTTTACTTTTGTCTTTTAAAGACTCTGATTATTGTTGTTGTTGTTTTTAATTTGCTATAAAGAATCATGAAAACAATTCATAATATAGTGTGTCACAAAAATAGCAAACATATAGTACAGTATGTTATATAGAGGCAATAAAAATGTCATAGTACAGTAAACTATGAAAAGTTATATTATGCACATTACATTTTGTAGAAAAGTCACTGTGTGTCATTTCATAAAAAAGGTTATAGTATGTAATAAAAATCTCATTAAAAGTCATAGTAGAGTATGCCATTAAAATTTTCACTAAAACGTCATAACATCAAAATGTCAAGTCATCAAAAATGTCATTAAAAAGTCGTAGAATGATATGGCAAAAAAATATTACAAACTAAGTTATAGTGTGTACAAAACATTTCATAGAAAAGTCATAGTATGCCTATAAATAATTTCATTGAAGTCATACAATATTATGTAATAAAAATGTTATTTTAAAAAACACGTAGTAGGGTATGCCATTAAAAATTTCATAAAAAAGTCATAGTATAGTATGTCATCAAATAATCATGAAAAATCTCATACACGGGGCGCCGGTGGCTTAGTGGTAGAGCACACACCCCATGTACAAGGCTGTTGCCGCAGCGGCCCGGGTTCGACTCCAGCCTGTGGCCCTTTGCTGCATGTCACTCCCTCTCTCAAAAAAATCATGAAAAATGTCTTAGTATATAATATGTCATCATGAAAATCATCAAAAATATCATAGTATAGTATGCCGTTCCAAAATCATGAAAAATGTCATAGTATAATCTGTCATCCTAAATTTCATCAAAAAGTAATAGTATAATGTGTCAGTAAAAATGTCATTAAAGTGATAGTATAGTGTGTCACAAAAAGAGAGTGCTTTTTCAAATTCTGCATCTTTTCCCCTCTGTAGCAATGTAACGACGTGGGCCTCATGGCCTATTTAGGCACCATCACCAAGACCTGCAACAGTATGAACCAGTTCATCAACAAGTTCAACGTCCTGTACGACAGACAGGGCATCGGCCGGAGGATGAGAGGACTCTTCTTTTAAGCTGGCAGTTCGCCGAAGCAGAGAAGCAAACAAGCACTGCAGTTTCTTTTTCTGTTTTGTTCTTTCTACAGTAGCTTTTAAACAAGTTTACCATCTTCAAACACAAGTGTATCTAAAAGCACTTAAGTACACCAGTCAGTAAGAGATATGTACAAAATTGCTCAACTCTTTCTTGGGTATGCACAGAAATGAATCCACTGTACATGAACGTTATATTATTTTACCCCGTTTGTTTTATTGTTTCATGTTTCTGTATGTAATAAATGATCTGCTGATTTTTTCATGGGACTTTAACTCCTCTTCCCTCTGAGCTTTAGAGATTCTAATATGGCAGACCTTATAGTAACTGTACACAACACAAAGCTCATAAAAATGTCAGACCTGCACTTTGAAATGAGCCTATGAAAGTCAGCTATGTGTAGCAGCAGGTTTATTGTCAGGAGTGTTTGCAGTTAGCTCGTCTTTTGAAGTTGTGTTCCTGCTGTTCGATTGCCTTTGGAGGTTTGAACAGACAGGCACACGCGGCAGGAAAAGGGGTGCAGGGGGGAGTTATAGCTCCAGAGTTGGAGGTCTAACAGGAGGCAGCGTTTTTATGGGTATTAAATGTACAGCGGAACCAGACATAATGACCCCCCAGCCTGCAAGTTGGCACTTCCTTTTTACTAGTCTGCCTCTACCTGCCATGTGGCAGTGGGAGGAGCCAACATTTTCTTTTCCTTCTGTCTTCTTGCAGCTTTTAGGTATATTCAGATCCCAAATACAACTCATTCACTGATGAGAAACTGTTTTGTGACACTTTATTAGCTCATTCGTCAAAAATCATTTGCATTACATGCTTGTGTTGACTGAAAACTCCTTTTTGTAGTTATTGACAGTGATACATAAACAGTTGTCAATTTATTAAAGTTTATAATACAAATACTGCAACTTGTCAATGCTGTAGTACAGGTTGTATTCCATGACAGGACATTTGCAAGATGTTAGAATCCCTCAAAATACGAAAATGTTCAACTTGTTTTCACTCCAAGTCTGTTTCATTTAAGTGACAATACCACCGACACATCCTGATGTCTTACTGACTGTGGCCTGACTCTGCAGCCTCGTCTGCGGCAGCAGCGGGCTGTGGGTACTGGAAGCGGACCGGGTCGTACAGATCATCCCGGGGGTCGTAGGGCACAGGGTAAAAGTAAGGGTAAGGGTAGCCGAGGGTTTTTTTCTTCTCGATGGGGGGAGCAGGGGGAGCTGGCTCCTCCACTGGTTCCTCTTCCTTTTCCTCCTCCACAGGAGGGGGTGGTGGCGGTGGCGGGGGGACCACCACCTTCCCCTTCATGGGCCTGGGTGGGTGGTCAATCAGGCAGTCGGGGTCCCAGTAGGGGTCACAGTCGTACTCCATGCCCTTGAAGGTGCGGATGGGGACTGGGACAGTCTTCTTGACAAGGACCGGTGGAGGTGGAGGCGGAGCGGACTTCTTTGGTGGAGGGGGAGGAAGTTGGGGCACTGCGACGGGAGCTGGAGCTTTCTGAGGGGTGCAGTGGGGGTGGTAGCGGGGGTCGCAGAGCACAGGCACGGAGCCAGTGGGCATGTAGACGATGTGGGGCTTACAGAGGGGGTCTTTCTTGTTGCACAGGTAGAGCACGTCAGCCTGGGAGATGGATGGAGCAGGAGGGAGAGGAGGAGGGGTCGCTGGGGGCTCTGTGGGCTTTGGGACTCCTTTCATCGGAGGTGGAGGAGGAGGAGAAACGACTTTGCACTTCTTGTCTGTGGCTGGGTCGCACATGATCATCGGCACGCCCAGTTTGCTCTGGAAATAGGAGGCGTTGGGGCCGTAGGTGTGCTCCAGGTACCTCATCTGCTGGTAGAGCATCCGCAGCTTGTCGATCTCATAGAGCTGAGAGGAGGAGGGGAAGGAACAGAAAAAAATTAGGGACTTTAAAAGGGATAACCAATGTAGACTGTAGAGCTGCAACGATTAATAGACTAGTTGTAAACTATTAAATCAATTGCCAATCAGTGTGATAATCGATTACTCAGTTTGAGTCATGTTTTAATGAAAAAAAAAAAGTCAAAATTTTCTGATTCCAGCTTCTTAAATGTGACAGATGTGGTTTCTTTACTCTCTGACAGTAAACTGAAGTTCTTTGATATTTGAGGACGTCATCTCCAGCTTTGGGAAACACTGATCCACATTTTTAGCTGCAACCAGCAGCTCTACAGCTCGCTGTGGGTTGGTCGACAAAAACTTCTCCACCCTTTGGGCACCATTGTTTTTGCCCTGGGAGGCTGAAACTTGTTATGAAGGTCGCAGCTATTGCAAAGCCACGCTTGTTCAAGTTTTATTGACCAAACAACAAGTGGATTAATCAAGAAAATAAATAACGAATCAACAGACAATGAAAATAATCGTTAGTTGCAGTCCTAGTAGAATATTATTTCTAAATACTCCTGTTTTATTTTACTTAATGAATTCAGACAAGTTTATTCTGAAAGTCAGCAACACAATATGATTTAAAGTGACATTATAACCTTTATCTTATGACTAATATTCAAAAGTAGGAACTGTGCAGTTCAGCAAAATACTCAACATCAAAAAATCAAAGTTGAGACAGTGCCACAGGTTATATATATATATTCAGATGATGCTGCTGACCATGTAATTTGAACATTCCTGGTTTGAGTGAAGGAGCATTTCATCCCTAAACTCTCTCCCCTGATTTCCTGTAAGATCTCTACTGTCCACTAAACCCCCCCCCCCCCCCCCCCCCCCCCCCCCCCCCAAAAAAAAAAGTACTAAAGAAGGGGGAATAGATCTTATCTCCTCAGTGAGCATCCGCCCAGTCAGGTAAGTAACTGTTGTACTACTTATCATTTTTCTTTTACAATCGGTATGTGGACCAAACTAAGTTTAGAAGGTACTTCGCCCCTCAGATGATCAGCCAGTTAATCACCTGTGTTACATTGAATTCAGGAAGAAAACCTTTTCTTGCATGCCTCTACTGTGAACAAAGAATACAAGAACAGCAAAAGTTCTTGATAAACTGGAGTAGAGGGGGAATGCATTTAAGAGCAAAACTATATCAAGACATCCATTTACTAACTCTGACAAACCTTGTGCAGTATATTCCAAGTCTCATTCATCCAGTCATATCCTCAGTACTTTCCAAACACAGACATTTTCGCTACAACCTTACTATTCAAAACACTTCCACATTAACAGACAGGTGCACTACTCGTCTGTGTGAGATGGTTTATCCCGAAGTGTTTTAAATTTAAGGTTTTAGCAAAAATGCGTGTGTTTGGGAGGTACTGAGGATATGACTGGATAATTGAGACTTGGATTAAACTGCTCTGATGTTTTGAAATAGTTTTGTGGCCCCCTATACTTCAATTCATCAAGAATTTTCTCAGTTTTTGGATTCTTCGTTCACAGTGGAGGCATCTTTAAAACAAAAAAAACAATTTTCTTTCCGATTTCAGTTTAACAGGAGGTGAGTAGGTGATAAACAAATGATCATTTGGGGCTAAAGTGTTACTTTAAGATGTGTTAAATGAGTAGTTTCACTGAGAGTTACAATTTTTAAAGACTTTAAGAGAGTTTGTAGCTTTAAACAGCAGAAAGACAAAAATGCAGAGACAAGGTCATCAAGACAAAAGATTCTGAAGCGGCACCACAGATAGTGAATACCACTAAATAATGGATTTACTGGGATATGTGAAAGCCCATAAGTCAAATATATTTCTTTTGAATGCAATAATCTAAAAAACGTATTGAATCTTTAATGTTTTTGGATCCAGTCTGTTTGTAGATAACTGACGTTACTGATCAGAATCACTGGATTTACAGTGTGCATTCTGCTTACTTGATTATTCTGAGTGTCATATTACCAGAGTTAGATGTATGATCCTCACTGGAGTCTCCCAGAATATGAATGTTGACACTTATCCATTCACAACTATCATATCTTTACGTGTAGTATGTAATAGCACTGTATTTACCCCCTCAGTGTGTCCGATGCTGCTGTAGTAGCGGTAGTAAGCCTGGAAGTCTGGGTTTCCTCTGTACCACCTGGGGTCTGCGTTACGCTTCGGTCTGGAGTGAGTCAGAAAGGCGTTTGCTTTCTCTGAGTCAATACCAACGTTACTGACAGGTACCATCTCTGTCAACAGAGGAGATGACGCTCAGTTCCTTCAGAGATAAAATACTTCAACAGTTATTGAAGGTGTTTAAGATCTGCTCTTACCTTCCTGCTTGATGGTGTTTAACAAAGATTTGGCCTCCAGGAGGTCTGCAAGGAGACAAATCAGATGGTTATCGTCATGTTTGAGACACATTTTTGTTTATAAGTAGGTGAACAATGAAGTATCAGAACTGACCTGGGAGCAGCGTCAGACAGCAGAGTGTCCCCGCCAGCCATAATGACGAAACCATCTCGAACCCTGCAACACAGAGAGGAAGTTCATGGCACAAATATGTTTGTACAATTTAGGGAATCGATGCTAATTGATTACTACAACAAGAAATATGATATGTAATCATTTTAAAACAAACTTCCTGATATTTTTACATGAAAACCCACAAAGAAAAACACATTTTAAAGGGTATGTAGGTAACTTCTTGGTCCTTTTCACACTGAATTTTCTTAAAATTGAGGCCTTTTCCCCACAATTTAAATGTAATATAGATGAAGAAAACTTTGAAGATTGTTTCAAAGTATCACAAAAAAACAGTCTCCAAGTTAGTTTGTACGAAATAAAACACAAAGCAGCTCCAGGAAATGAGGTTTAACTGAGTTAAACGCAGTTTTTGGTTACATAACCAGAACCTTTCAGTGCCTGAAGACGAAGATCATCACACAGTGTTTCACTCACCTGGCTCAGGAAGTGGTCTTCACTGCACTGACAGGGCCAAGTGGGTTAAATACAGCTCTGTGTGTCAGACCCCCTGAAACATTACTCCCCGTCCAATAGGACTCCACCAACTGTGACCCAAACCTCTCATCTCCTCCTCTCCCTTAATACCGTTTAATATGGGCCCTTTGGCGCCAATTAGGAATAAAAGCCCCTGCGCTTTCAGCAGCAAAGTCATAAAGACAACAGACTTCAAATGGAAACTCCCCATTAAGTCTGGGAGGAAAGCAACACCTGCTGGGACCACTGCAACTGTGGGGGAAAATGCTGCCGACTAACACGGTATCTCGGCCAGAAAGACAGTAAAAATCATAGATAATGACCTGCACGGCCTTAAATGTACATTTATAATGAGTTTTTCTGAAACGCTGTCAGCTCTAGGAGGTGGTTATTTTTACCCAGAGAACACCTGATTTTCTGACAGGACGTGTTATCAACTCACAGAGACACAAAGAGGCTTATTTTTTGGTCTCAGCATGTTCGCCATTACATTTTAAACACTTAGAATTGGACCAAGCCTGCATTATGTGTTGCTGTCATACTACATGTCATACAGTTAATGCATGTTCACATATCTAAGTGCCCTGACTATACAACAAACAGTCACAGTAAATCATTTTTACTTGCTTAACATTGGTTGAACTTCAGAAAATTAATCTTCTACTAATCGATTTGTCACTTCTCAAGCACAAACAGGTTGCTACAGCTTAAGGCAAGTTACATTTAAGACTTGTTACTGCCACTTTGAGTTTATCCAGATTTACATATGACCACAAAAAAGAACAATTTTACAATAGCCAAATTTGAAGAAAAAATAAAAAACTTGAGCTTACATCAACTACTTCTGGTCAGGGACAATTTTGTCCAAAAGTTTATTGTGACATAAAACATAACACTTTTATTGCACCTGGCAGCCTTTTTTCTTTTTTTGTAGCAAATATGGAAACGGAAAAATCTTGTCACACAAGTTCATTAATTTGTCTTTTTTTGTTTTCTTTTAATTGTTTTATATTTATATATATTTTTAATTCTTTTTCATTTTTTTCCTCATTCTTGTCTTTTGGATTTCCTTTTGCTGGTCTGGCTTTCTCTGTCTGTTCCTGGGTTGATGGGTAGGTGTTTGTTTTTGTGTTTGTTGATGCTCTGTGCCTGTTATTGAATTATCAATAAAAATAACCTTGTTTTAAAAAAAATCTTTTGTCTCATGGCAGAGACGAGGGTAGAACCACATCTGGTGTTTGTTGGTGAGATTTCTTGGCGATTTTGTGTTTCTCATTTTCTCATCCTGCATGCTGGATTTCTCTGCTTTCATTCCCATCGTGACGACTTTGAAAAACTTATTGCATAAAATACACAGAGCCTTGTACACCTCTCCTTGTGCCAACAAAATATAGTGCTGGTCTCCTGACCATTCCCCCCTCACGCCTCAGCACCATGTGTGTCAGGGCTTTCAGCTGCACTGCCCCGAGGCTCTGGAACTCCCTACATCCACACATCCAACACTCTGACATCACATCTCAAAACCCACTTATTCAAACTGGCTTATGCACTTATACACTGACTGTACCCTCTGCCTGCCACTCCCTTTCCTATTTAATAGTCTGACTGATTTTATCAAAGCAACAATGTCTGCCCAATTCACGCATCTTGATTTGTATGTTATTTTACACTCTGTAAAGTGATCTTGGGTGTTTTGAAAGGTGCCTTTTAAAATAAGGCATTCTGTTGTGTAAGTTATTTAAAAAGTAGATATTACAGTTTATTGTGAGATTTTTTAATGCAATGCCAGAAAAACAAAAAGTAAAATCCTGTTTTCCATGTCTTAGAATAAAAACTTTTGTAACTTGATTAAGACATTTTTTAATTTCAAAACTTTTCCATGACTTTTCAAGGATCCATAATGATTTATTTTTTTGCCAAACTTGCCTTGCCAATATTTGGAGTAACTCCTCTAGGTGTTACCTTAAGTCGAGCCCAAGTGGAAATTGTCTCTTTCTGCTCACTTCTGGCCAGAGAGCTCATCCTGTGTAAACGGAAGGACTCTTCACCTCCAACATATGGACACTGGGTCAAAGACGTTATGCATCATTTACAACTGGAGAAAATCTGTTTTATTAAAGGATCACCAGCACGCTTCTTTGCCACCTGGCAGCCATTTTAAATGGTTGTTGCAAATATAGAAGCTGAAAAAATTTAATGAAACACACAATACTCCCCTACTTATGTTACACAATTTAATATGTGGTTATTTTAAATATATACACTTTTTAAATTAATTTGTTTTTATTTAGTTTTCTTCTTTTTCTTTCTTGTCCATCAGATTTCCTCTGACTGGTCTAGCTTTCTGTTTGTTCCTGGGTTGATGGGTGGGTGGGGTTGTTTTGTTGTCCTTACTGGTTCTGTGTTTGTTTATTAATACTCTGTACGTCTTTATTGAATCACCAATAGAAATACCTTGTTTAGAAAAAACTCTATTCCAACATAATTTCAGTAAGATGGCATATATGAAGGGAGAGTTGAAACAAGGGGAGAGAAAAAAACATATGTAATGGTCCACCAAACATCACATACACACATATTAGTGCTACACTGACAGCTAAAGAAAACAAATTTGCCATTATGTTACATTAAGTGGAAGGTTATCCACGAAAGATTGCTGCAACAATGTGATTACACGCGACAATATTCCATTACTTTTCCAAAACTTTCAATCATTTATATTAATTCTATGACTTTCCTAGGCTTGGAAAATGTGTGGGTGTGGGTTTTCAACAAATGTGGGAAGTTGAACAATTAACACCTTATTTTTACATCTATGAATTCAGTGTATTTTAAGACTTAAAGGTTCTGTGGGAACACTGGTAAAAAACAAACAAATATTACCTATTTACAGCATCTTAACTGTTAAGATTTTCAGCTTTTCTTTGTTTAACGTGACAGTAAACTGAACGTCTTTGGGTTTTAAACTGCTGGTCAGACAAAACAAAATACTTAAACCCCATAACTTGTACTCTGGGAACTTCTGACTGCTAGCATTTAACATGTTCTTCTTCTCCTTAGACTAAATCAATAATTAATCAGGACACAAAATCTCAAAGAATGACATCGCTGCAGCACTGAACTACACCTTAATATTTAAAAAGACAGCCTCGGGCTTTTAGGAAATTGCAGATGTTTCATGCATTTATAGACTAAACAATAATTAAAATAATTGTTAGTTGTAACCGTGTGTGTGTGTACGCATGTTTTACGAGCATGTTTTACTGAAAGCAACAATTATGTCAAAATGGCTGCTCTGGTACCAAACCAGGTGTTCAGGCGTGATTGTGGCACACTAACACTTTCATACATGTGCACACTGAGTCCAAATCATCCACAGCAAGCATAGCATTACTGAACCATCAATTTATTATAACTATATGTCACAATACAAGGCTCAACGTTAATTTATATGGCCTAATTTTGCATTACAGCGTATAAAATGTACAGAAATGCTCCGTGTCAGAGGAACTAGAAGCTTTAAGTTCTAAACTGCAGATGCTACACAATCCAAATTCTGACATACATATTTACAAGAGATTTACTGGTGAACAGGAATCGTGATACATAAAAAAAGCTATGGATCTCCGACAGCAGGGATTCTTGCGTAATGGTCATGCTTAAAAAAATGTCCAGGTTACAAAATGCTGAAGGACGAAAAATGCAGAGCCCCAGTATGAGTCTGTAGAAAGCCCACAGTGAAGTTTTCCCCTCGGGTGGCTGAAACAGCGTGCAGGAAAGTGTCCCAAGTTTCTTCAGACAAAGGTGATGCGGGTGCGAGCCTGGTTCACCTGCCACACGTTCAGCTCCTCGTACTCCTCCAACGCCTCCTGGAACTGGGCCGGGGTGAAGCCACGAGAGACGCAGCGCTGTTCTGCTTCAGACATGCGAACCACCCCGCCGGCTCCACCGCGGCCCGCCACGCCCTCCGTGGAGAGCTCACGCACCAGAGAGAAGATGACGTCGGCCGGGCGCTGAGTCCTGTAGAGAAAGGATTGAGCGTTAGAGACTTTTAGACCTCGGAACCAGCATGATTGAGTCGAACATCAATTTAATGATTTAAAAATGGAACCTGTAAAGAGTGAATAGAAGTACAGAGAGTTGTCACATAGAGATCTCATCTAGTTACATTGGTGTGAACCGACAGGCTTTTACAACGTTGCAGAGCGACACATTGCAAGGAGTTGCCTGTTTCAGCCTTTCTCGTCGCAAATCTTGGGTCTGACTGGGCTTCTGACTGCCTTACAAGTGATCCTGATCAGGGGTATGCGTTGCAACTGGGGTAAAACTCCAGATTTTATTCTGACATTTGTCTACGACAGTGGATACTGCTTGAAAAGTTGTTTGGTATAAGGCCAGCATTAACTAAATATCTGCCTCCAACTTCGATCTCAAAATGAAGACATGAATGCAATCTCAGTCTTTTAAAACCGGGGTTGCCACACATCCTATGGACAAAATTTCACAGCTTTTTCATAACTTTTCAAACATAATTTCAGCTTGCTAGCATAGATGAGAGGTTGAACACAGGGAGAAAATGAAGTGAAGTGATGGTGAACAAAACATTGTCGTGCACTGATGCATACTAGAGCTTTGTTGCATCGACAGCTACAGAAAACAAACTTGCCGTTACATTACATTATGTGGAAGTTTATCCACGGAAGACTGCTGTAACAATTTTATTTCACACAACAAAATTCCACCACTTTTCCAAAACTTTCCATGATTTTAGGATGTTCTATGGCAATTATTTTAATGCAGGGGGAAAACGTAACCTGACGTTAGAAGTGCTTATTGGTGAATCTGATGCCATTTAAAAGACACGTCTTTCTCACCCTCATATTGTTGTACAAAGCCTCCTCAAACTTTAAAAGCACAGGGAACAGTATATGTTTAGGGGGTGTTAACACGTCACAGGTTTCGACGCCTGCCTCAGTGAACATGCTTCCGTGTGAAGAGAGCTCCATAA